AACATATTCAAAATTTAAAACAAAGTACAATTTGGAGCCTTATTTACTTAATTTGAATCGTGAAAATAGAAAAATGTTCACTAAATTCAGGGTTAGCAATCATAGTTTAGCTATTGAAAAAGGCAGACATTCTATCCCTAAAGTACCAATAAATAACAGACTTTGTCAATTTTGTAATAATTGCATTGAAGATGAGATCAGTTTCCTTTTAGATTGTCAAAAATATGAACAGCGAGATCTCAACTGTTACATAAAACTAAAGCCCCGGCTGACAATAACATTTCTTGTTTCACATATTTACTTTCACATCAAGATAAATTAGTTCAACAAAAGATATCAAACTTTATTTTAGCTGTGACCAAAATAAGAAATTGATTTCTTTAATAATTTATTTGTGTATTTATTTTTTATACATATTTATTTATTTGTGAATTTTAAGTACATTCATTCTAGTTATTTTTAAAATATTGTCTTGTTAACAAAAATTCTTTATTGTTGCAAACACACTATGTAACCTACTCTTTTTTACACGGGAACAATAAAGTTCATTCATTCATGTAGTTTGACACATTACTCACGGCCGGGGCTCATGAGCGTATCAATACTTTATCATCACAAAATACCTTCAATATTAGACCAAGCACAACACAAAGTAAATTGAACACAATCACATGTTGTGATGCGTTCCCATGAGAATTCTAACACAAAGTCATAAGTTAAGTTAAGCTGTGACATGATTATTGGTTTAAATTTGAAATTGATTCCAGTTGTTGTTACAGGAATGCTGATTGGTGGATCCAGCTCCTTGGAGCAGCCAATCAAATCATTCAATTTAACTGAGGTCAAGTACAGCTATTTCTGACACAATCATGCAAGGGTTTGTAGAGACCAGATTATGATGGGGATGAAATTAACATAATTTGTTGCAGCCAACTCAAAATGTGATCAATGGATAATGGGAAGAATAATCTCAGGACTCACTTGCTACACAAATTGGAAGTAAATATTTCCAACTATTTTCTGGTGGTATCCGGATTTCTCCTTCTTGCCATATCAGTGTGAGAAATGAACAAATGAAACCAACTGCTTCAGCAAATAATGTTATCTTTGCAACGTCCAATCGATGTCCAACTTTACGAACCAGTATATGTGACATTGAAGTGAGAGTTGCACAGGCTATAGCAAAACCTATGTAAGTTAATCTATGTCGACTGTCATCAGCAACGACTGGAGTGTCCTCAAGGAGATTAAGAAGAAATGATGGTCTTGAGATCAAAACCACACCACACCAGCAGAGTATACTGAGTAACATGTCTCGTAGTTTCCATTTCTCATCTAAGATGAAAATACCAAGGAATCCAGTGATGATGGTGGATGTACTCATCAAGGCTGATGCATCACCTAGCAACAGACAATAAATGATATTTTTTTTTTAATTTAATTTTTATCTAAATATAACCCAATTTTTATGACAATTTTTATAATAAAGCTAAAAATTATGTGCACATTGATTTTAGAAAACAAATTGACCAAAACAGTTCTCATTTTTGTTGGGCCTATTAAGTTCAACTACACATCTAAACTTACCTAGCGGTAGATTTTGACTAACTGTGAATGCCAAGACAATAGCGATGCTGAACATAACACTTCTCGTTAGTACCAATGAAAAGGTGTTACGATTGAAACCAGAGAAAATACCACTATCTTGCGTCACAACCAGGTAACTAAAGACTAGAATGGTATTGCCAATACCCCTCCATACAGCTATTTCTAAAGAAGATAAATCATTTGATAATTTTTTTACAAACACACTAGACATGGCAACACACATGCCTGCACCAACTGCAAAGAGTAAACCAGCTGCTCTCATTAGTAAACTCTTTTTTTCTTCAGATTTAGAATTTTTGAGCCGTTCTTGCTTCATGTTGTTTGCAGACGGTTCTTTCTCAGAGCTTGTTTTCTTTCTTTTTCTTGATTTTGACTCAACCATATCGTCTCAAATTGGTCTATAATAAAAAATGTTATGTTATGTTATGTTCAACTTTGATTACACAGGAAGTTCATGAGACTATAGGCCAGATGATGACGTGTTGGTTTTTCTTTATTTTCTAACAACAGCTAAATAACTACAGAAATGTTAACGATACAAACGGATGACAGTAGTATGTCTGTCATTATCAGGTTATAGCTAGAAAAGAAAGGCATATAAATAATATGAGGTTATTACGAGGATACCGAAATATATGCATGAAGACAGTACAGTGGGAGTATCGACCAACGTGCAACGGTGGATGATACGATCACGTACCGTCTGACATCTTTTCCTCCCAAGGATACATCATGGGAATGCCGAATACAAAAAGTCTGAACAGATTTTCTTTTTAGAGACAGTACAACTTTTGAGTCATGGTACAGTTTCTGTTTCAGTTTCAGGGCTGATTTATAGTACGTTCAATTTGCTGGTTTCCTTCATTCCTGACATTCTGACTTTGAACATTTACATGCCAAAATGTGCATAGATGCTATAAATAAATTTATCATTACTAGAGAAAATATTGCTAAAAAGACGGCTCCCATGGAAATACTTGCTGTGGTATGTACACATATCAAACTGTTAGTAATGTTTTTCCTATGCACATTAACATACTATAATTGTAATAAGAAAATGAGCCACAAAATCTCCGT